TAACAACACCCATAATAAGTTTAATGCCTTACTGTGGATCATTTCTGGCTAAGCAATAAAATCTCCATGGAAACCAACAGGTGACGCATCCTCCAGCAGAAAGTTACAAAAGTACACCTTTAAATATTCTACACCGATTACTACTTTTAAAGAGCACAGCACTGAAATCTTCTAAAATCCTCTAATAATTTGCTCTAAAACCATATCCCCTGAAGACAAAGACGGATGCTCATTTTCTGTGAAGTTATAAATAAACAATCACTGTGGATGTGCTCCAGTTTAGCGTGTCCACTCAAGGCCCCGTTTACTTCATAAGGAGCTGACACCTTTTCCAAAATATCTCTTTTTAATTGTTCAACTGACCTGATTCGTACACAAAAACTAAACGACGCCAAACTTGAGACGAGAATCTGACAGAGACATCAGATAATATGTGAAAATATGAAGTACATACAAGTTACTACAAAAACCACAAAGGTACTCCTCCTTAAAAGAATTACAGTACATGAGTTGTGTCTCTTGTCAAAGCTCCTGTATGAATTCTGAGAGTATATTTCTTGTAGTCCAGAGCTGCTTGTGTCTGACCCTGTGACCTGCTCCTGTCTGCTTGTTATATCTTCCTCTCTCTTACTTTCTCTCACTGTCTTTCCCTCCATATTTGTCTCTCCATCTCTCTTTATTTCAGTCTCTCTTTCTTTCCCTCTGTATGTGTGTCTCTCTCGCCCTCTAACCTCTCTTCTCCTTCTCTCTCTTAGTCTAGGCTAGAAAGATCTTGCTCTTTGTGTCAGTTTCTCTCTGTGTCTTTGTTTTGCTCTCTTCCCTTCCTCTATCTGTCTTTCTCTCTCAGTCTCTTTTTCATTCCCGCCCTTCCTCTTTCTTTCTTTCTTTCTCTATCTCAGTCTTTCTCTCTATCTCTTTTCTTTCTCTCTAAGTCTCTCTTTCTTTCCTTTCTTTCTTTCTTTCTCTATATCAGTCTTTCTCAGTCTCTTTTTCTTTCCCTCCCTCCCTCTGTTCTCTTTCTTTCTTTATCTCAGTCTCTCTTAATCTCTCTGCCTGTCTCTCACTCTCTATTTTTCTATTTTTCAGTCTCTATTTGTTTCTCCCTCTGTCTCATTTCTTTCCCCCTCTCTGTCTCTTTTTTCTCTCTCTTTCTTACTCAGTCTCTCTTTCTCTCTCAGTCTTTCTCAATCTCTATTTCTCTCTCTCTCTGTCTCTCTTTTTTCGCTCCCTCTCTCTCTATCTCAGTCTCTCTTTCTCTCTCAGTCTCTCTTTTTCTCTATCTCTCAGTCTCTCTTGCTTTCCCTCCCTCTCTCTCTTTCTTTTTCTATCCCACTCTCTCAATCTCTCTGTCTTTCTCAGTCTCTTTTTCCTCTCTCTCGGTCTCTCTTTCTTTCTCTCCTCTCTCTCTCTCTCTTTCTCTATCCCAATCTCTCTTAATCTCTCTCTCGCTCTGTCTCTCTCTCTCTTAGTCTCTCTTTCTTTGCCTCCCTCCCTCTCTCTATTTCTTTCACTGTCTCAGTCTTTCTCTCTCAGTCTCTCTTAATCTCTGTCTCTTTCTCAGTCTCTCTTTCTCTTCCATCTCTCGGTCTCTCTTTCTTTCCCTCCCTCTCTCTTTTCTTTCTCTGTCTCAGTCTCTCTCAATCCCTCAGTCTCTCTTTTACTCTCGCTCTGTCGCTCTTTCTTTATCACCCTCTCTCTCTTTGTTTCTCTATCTCAGTCTCTCTTTCTCTCTCTGTCTCTCTCTCAGCCTCTCTTTTTTTCTCTCTCTCAGTCTCTCTTTCTTTCCCTCCCTCTCTTTCTTTCTTTCTTTCTTTCTTTCTCTTCTTTCTTTCTTTCTTTCTTTCTTTCTTTCTCTATCTCAGTCTTGATTTCTCTCTGTCTATTTCTTTCCCTCCCTCTTTCTTTCTTTCTCTCTCTATCTCAGTCTCTGTCTCTCTCTCTCTCAGTCTCTTTCTTTCCTTCCCTTTCTCTCTTTCTCTATAACAGTCTCTTTTAATCTTTCTGTTTCGCTCAGTCTCTCTTTTTCTCTCTATCTCAGTCTCTTTCTCTCACTGTCTCTCTTTTTCTCCATCTCTCAGTCTCCTTTCTCTCTCTCTCTTCTCTCTCCTCATTCTCCCTCCCTCTCTGTTTCAGTTTCACCTTTACCCTCCCTCCTCCCTCCTCCCTCTCTCCCTCCCTCGTTCCTCCACCTGCAGGTCTGCTCTCTCAGCTGTGAGCGGTGCACTGGGGCTTACAACGGGAAAATGATGCTTTATATCAAACTAAATGACCACAAAATAAAGTGAACCGCGAGAGACACTGACACGCAGAAGAAGAAATGAGCTTCGATGAATCGTTTTGAGAACGGACAAACTTAGAGAGAGAGGAAGAAAGAGAAACATTTCAAGGTATCGCAGTTATAAAGAGGAGGAGATGCGAGAGGTCAGAGAAGCTGCTGCTCATTCTGACAAAACAGCAGAATAATGAAGAGGAGCGAGAGTGCATTTATTGATGCCTCAGTTTTATAGATCCTGCATGAGAACTGTATTATGCAGTGTGTTTGAGATACAGAGCTCACATTCAGAATACACACAGTACTCCTATTCTGTATGAAGTATTAGTCTGTACTAGTGATACACCGATACAGATACTGGTGTAGGGGAGTAACAGATTACATGTACCAGGATTACATAATCAGAGTACAAATTATGAGTAACTGTATTCAGTTACAGTTACTGTTTCAATGAGTGGTAATTAGATTACAGTTACTTTGTTGAAATAAATGGATTACAGGGCGGTATTTTCCTGTTTTCACATTTTGGGCTAAACCAGGACTAAAACCAGGACTAAAACCAGAACTAAACCAGAACTAAACCAGGACTAAAACCAGGACTAAAACCAGGACTAAACCAGAACTAAACCAGGACTAAACCAGGACTAAAAGCAGGACTAAAGCAGGACTAAACTAAAACTAAACTAGGACTAAAACTAGGACTAAAACCAGGTCTAAACAATATGACACTAACAGTAGGTGGACATAATTTAAAGCAGCAGTGATCTCATATAAAAATAATTTCTCTATCAATAATATTTTTAATATGGTTAAGTAAAGACTGGACTTTTTATTATCTTTAAGCAGATAAAACAAAACATCTTATGTTAAGATTTCCTGGTCTTTGCTTCTCTACAGCAAACAGTTGCTTATTCATGGAGATTTGGGCTCAACAGACAATTTGAAGAAAACAAACAGGAATTTTCAGGATATGGTTGATACATTCATGTAGTTTTAAAAAGCAGGACAATATCAAGTAATCCAAAGTAATGGTTTACGTTACAAACTACATTTTGGTGTATGTAATCTGTAATCTGTAGGGGAATACATTTTAAAAGTAACCTTCCCAACACTGCAGATACTGGTACTGAATATCAGCATCGATCCAGGAAAATTTGCTGGATTGGGTATCGGTTCGATGATATTGGTTAATTCCTAATTGGGTCTTTAATTAACTGAAACTATTTACTTTAATTAACTGTAATGAAACTATTTACTGACTGAAGTACTATTTACTGACTGAAGTACTATTTCCTGGCTGATGTAGGCGCAGGACATCTCCTAAAGTTTGAATTTCATAAAGAACAGTTCTGTAAATAAAGGTTGAAATATCAATATATATCATGATGATACAGTATCAGTATCGTGGGCTGCTGTATCGATATATCACCAAGAGTATTTTTTGTCATATTTTGCTTAATGATTTTGTTGTAGCACTATAGTTTTGTTGCTTGTTTAGAGGAAGGAAACAAATTTGACATTTTCACTGTTTTGATGATTAAATTTGTGTTTCATATGAACTTTGCACAAGAAGTGGTTCAACAAAGATTTAGATCATCACAGCCATGATTTAGTCTTTATTTTTTATTAAACCATATTGACTCGATTTGAAAAGTATCAAACCGAAAGTGCACTGTATTGAGATATGTATCGTATCGTGGCCTGTGTATCGAGGTATGTATCATATCGACAGCTTCTTCATGATATTCAGCCCTAGATATGGTATCGTCAAATGTCTCACAATAATATCGTGGACCAGCACAATGTACCAAATATCGAAGTCTCTAAGTTATAATGCAGCAATATAGCTACAAAAACAGAGGGAACTACATTGACCATGATCCTTTTCACCATTTCAGTGCCGATTACATAAAGAAATATCTTAGATTATGACAGAACCAGAGTCTTGTCGATGCATTTTAAAAGGAAAAAGTGGCATATTCACATTTTGTTAAATAAATATCGTATTGTGAGATGCATATCGTGAAAATATCTTATCGAGGCATTTGGATATGTTACATCCCTAACACTTACATAACACCATTGGAATAAATTTGCAATAAATTAACTGTATTGTGTCTGTAAATCATGTCTGTGATACTAAAAGTCTTTGTTAAACCACTTCTTGTGCAAAGTTAATATCAAATACACCCATTTTAATCATCAAAACAGTGAAAATGTCAAACATGTCACATAAATGAGTTTCCTTCCTCTGAAAAAGCAGCAAAAATGTAGCACTGCATCAAAATAATAAAAAAATAAGGTAGTAAAATATACAAAAAAATACTCTTGGTGATATATTGATACAGCAGTCCCTGATAACAATACTGCATCATCACATTAAAGGATAAGATATATCAATATTTCAATATTTTTGCACACCCTTGGAGATGAATTAGCCAGAACTACAGTATATAAGAAAAAGTACACAAAAGAGCCAACTGCTGGGTCAGTATTGGTTCAACATTAGACTAAGTGAAAAGATAAGAATAAGTATGCATGTTATACTGAACTATACTCTACTATTATACTGCACTCATCAACATCATTATGAAACAAGTGTGAAGAAGCAAAATACAACTCCAAGTATGTTTCGATGAGGGACATTATAACATACTTAAAAGCTAAAAAAAAGTGAGTAACATGTGTTCTATAATGTAATATATATCGTGTTTTGTGTTGGTCTTACCTCAGTGATGCGCGGGTTGGTGCACTTGACGTTCTTGGTGTTCATGTTGAGCCAGCGGGTGGTGTAGGGGTTGATGGGGGGACAGTGGTGACGTAGGGTGCACCTGCCCTCTCCACTGCACCAGCCGCACTCGAACTTCCTGTCCGCCTTCAGACACAGCCCGCAGCTGTCCCTCTGAGCGGCGCACTTGTACAGGTGCACTGTGGGTAAGAGTGGGACAACAGGAAATGTTACTGTTATGGTTATTGTCAGAGGAAACGGCACAATTTAGGGACGATAACTTCACGACCAAACCACATTCATTCCTTTTGTCCAATACATTATTACATACATTATTTCTACACATATTTCTACTATACTCAGGATATCCCCAGGTTTGTCTACCCCAAATTTAACACTTTTTAAAGACCTTTTTAAGACCACTTTGATGAAAATTAAGACCAACATTGCAGCCATTATGCAGGCGAAAAACACCAGATCTAATTCTAATAATGACCATTACTCAAAATACTTTAAATTAGACGTTACATGATTTCACGTTGTTTTTTTGTTTTTTTCTCCCTCCGTTTAACATCGCACTGCAGCCCGGTTAAGTATACAAAAAAAAAAAAAAATAGGCTAATGAAATTTAAGATCTTTGTGAAAAAAAAATAAGACTTGGACAACATCATTTAAGACTTTTAAGACTTTAATTTAGGAACATGAAATCTAAGACCTTTTAAAGACTTTTAAGACCCTGCGGCCACCCTGTATACTGTATTATTAAGGGACTACAGAGGAAAATTGCCTCCTAATTCTGTCTTTTTTACTCATGTTTAATCATGTGCTTTATGAAATTGCACAATCCCCTTTCAAATACAATAATCTAATCTAATAACCATTGCTCAAGTGTGTGATCAGCTTTATGAAATCAAGCTTTCTGAAAGTTACAGGTGTTTTTATGACTGAAAAACACCTCGAAAAACAGATATTTGTACAGTAAGCAGGTTTGCCTTTCCACAGATCTGGCCTGTAACTTGGTCTTGTGGCATCACGTGTTTGTCTCCATGGAGATAGATAAATTCTACACTATGTAATATCATCAAGGTCACCACCATCTTCAAAATAATGATAAAAACAATCAGATATACATTTATTTTAATGTTTGGAGTAGCAGTTGAATTTAAACAACAAAATTTTGCTTCTAAATTTGTCACAATTCTACAGTTTTAGTTCTTACAATAAATTTTACTGTGACTGTTACTGATTAAACAAATAACCTTGACATCCCTGACTGCATGTGAGAAGAAATAATGAATAAATACACTGTGTAAATATGGCAGGAAATACACTTGACGGAAAGACTGTTTGGGTTTTTGTAGCTGCGGGAGCTCTGAGTTCCGATCTCACGAATGTAAAAATACACCTGTGTGTCTGTGTCGTAATAACAGAGAGTGGAAGCCTGCTGAGACCAGACAGGATTTGGGTGTCTGCAGAGAGAGCTTTGGATAAATGTGTTTTCATTCAGTCCGTATAGAGCAGTGAATGGAGACAGGATACTGATATATGCTACCAGCCATTATTTTCATGAATGATCTCAGAAACGACCAAGTTTCCCAAGCAATTCGTAACTTTTCTGGTAGATGTTGCCATGCCTTGAAGAGTCCAATCAAATCCACCAGGCATTCAATTACAAATGACATTCTCAAAAGTACCTAAAAACATGCTGCTCATACTGTAAAACATTCTAGGTAAAGCAATAACATCTCCATGGATAAAAGCAAAGTTATACATTGTAACTTAAACTAGAATTAGATGTATATTTTAAAGGTCCTATATTACCCAAAATTTTAATAATGTTATAATGTTGTTATTCCATCAAAAACAAACCTGGAGTTGTGTTTTGTTTCATTCACACGTTTGAGTTATCATTTATCATTAGTCTGTCTACATCTCCAAAACTTAAAATAGCTGTGTTCCACCTTGTGATGTCATGAAGTGGTAGTTTTCAAGTGAACAGCTCCACTTTACCTTTAGTTCAGTAGAGATGGGCAATTCTAGGACTGAAATGATCTAAATGATTCTAGTGTGGTGGAAGGTGTGTGGCAGGGGTGTCAAACAAAATTAAAAACTGGGACTAATTCGTGGGCCAAACTAAATATTTATTGAAAAATTTCAACAACATCTGCATGTTTTCTCTTCTTTTGTCATATGTAATGTTAAACTTTATTAAAATAAATGTTTAGTAATAGTTTTGCTTAAACATTGAATCCAGAACAAGCACAATATAAAATAATAACAACATTTTAAATAATGTCTCTATAGCCCAGGGGTCTCCAACCTATAGCTCGGGGGCCACTAGTAGCTCTCCACCTCCTTCCAAGTGGCTCACCAAGGGATTTCTGAAGTATAATTAACTAAAATTTGATGAACAGAATGACTATTAAAATTGTAAATGTAGCATTTTCTTGCCTAACTTTACTTTCTGCACTAATAAATGGATATGTATGTTTTATAGGCCTCTAACTGTTCCTGTGGCTCTTATATTTACTCAATATCTTGTCACTCCCAAAATGACTAGGTCTCTGGAATTTTAGTTTTGTAATGGAGGCTCACCGGAGGAAGAAAAATTGGAGACCCTGGCTATAGTCTGTAGCCGGTGGGCCAGCTCTAATACATATTTGATATGATTTCGTGGGCCAAATTTGGCCCCTGTCCCTGAGTTTGATATGTCTGGTGTATAGAGTTTCAAAAACACAGTGCAACTCCAGGTATGTTTTTGGTGATTATAACAGATCAGAAAACAGCACAATATGAGCCCTTTTAATAACTGTTTACAGCATAAAATCTGTTTAAAACTTGCACAAAATAAGTAAAAAAATTACAAAATAGGGGACCAAAGACAGATATTGGACCGTGTTTTTAACTCGGCACTGGTGCGTATCACAATTGCAGATCAGCCGCATGCAAAATTGAAGTAACCACTGAAATGTAAAAAAATGGTTTTATTTTTCAGAAATAACCCCAAATTTGGACTCTCTTTGCTATGTTCATCATTCTTTTGAAAACTAAAAACAGATGTTCTTATGGGAATAGTGATTCATCTGAATGCCACGATCGCATTAGGACAAATTATAATATTCCTCTCCACTTCAGATATGCATTTTTAAAACACAATACCCCAATTACAAACAAGTGCTACATTTTAATGAGATGTAATTAATAATCAAAAATCCACTTGTATAATTCATGGAAGCAATCAGTTATGAATGCTAATTTCGGTAGCGGTTTTCCTATTGGTTTACAAGGCCACAGCGCTGTACTCCACCCCTCCAGCCCTCTCCCTCTTACCTTGAATGTTCTCTGGATTATCAATAATAAAGTTGCCATTCCACACCACGGAGAAGTCCACGGGCAACTCGCTGATTTTCATGCCTTCGTAGAGATACTGCGGGACGAGATAAGAGAGATCCGTGAGGGGAAAATGGCAACCCAAACGTACACTTTCCCATTTAAAGCTTTAGAAATCCCATGGTCCCTTTTACAGAAGTACAATGTCCTTTCAATGTTACCCAAAAGTTACATCACCTCATGTGCGAAAGCAGGAGAAAGAGGGACTATACTCTTGGCCTGTATAAAAGTAGTGTCCTTACATGGCTCCTATGACCTTATTTCCTTTCCTTGCACAAAGCTCTAAGGGGTATATGGTGTGTGCATGTGTGTGTGTAGAACTCCACAAGGGACAGTGTTCAGACTTGACTGGAGGGCAGGATAACAACGCAATGTGATTACCAATGCAACACCAGTTTCACATTTGGTTATTATGGAGATTTTGTGGTAACCTTTGTTTTATTATTATTGTTTGCGAGATTAAAGGTCCAATATTACGCAAAATTTACTAAATTATGAGCTTCATGCAGTGTTATAACCTTATCAAAACATGCCTGGAGTTGTGTTTTGTTTCATTCACACACGTTTGAGTAACCCTTTGCTATTCTTTCTTATTCTCCAGAGGTCAAAATGCTCTGTTCCACGTTGTGATGTCATAAAGTGGCAGTTTTCAAGTTAACACCTACCTTTTACCTTTTTTTGTTCAGTAGAGATAGGAAATTCCAGAACTGAACTTATCTAATTGATTCTAGTGAAGGTGAATGGAGTTTAAAACCACAGTAGAGCACTTCTTGTATTACCACATGACATCACAAGGTGGAACAGAGAGTTTGAGAGAAGGACTCAGCCTAAATGTGCAGGGTTTGTTTGTTGAACATGTGTGAATGAAACAAAACACAACTCTAAATATGTTTCTGATGATTAACAGAGATCAGAAAATAGCGTAATGTGGGCCCTTTAAAAATGTCAAAACACTCTCCAAAAAAATGTGCAAGTTATCATTGGGTCCAGTCAAGCGGTAACGGAGGGAAACAGGGGCAGATTTTTTTTACATTCAAATGCTCTTATTCACAAACTAGAGGGACTATTGAAATAAGTAAAGTATCAGAATGTAGGAAAGAGTTAACACTCCAACAGGGTAAAGTTAAACCTGTGATATTCTTTCAAGTTGTTGACAAAAGAATAAAAAACTCATGTCAGTACTGGAGGGAATGAAATATGCAGCACTTTTTGGACAATAAATCCAAACAGTGATAACTCTTGGTTCTCACTTCCATATCCTTAACAAACTGGTTTGAATATTTGCTTCATATAGTTTTCTACCATATGGTACAAGATTAGGTTGAAAAACCTCTTACTTTTTGAGTAATACGATTTTTTATTAAGAAAGGTCATGGTAACAGAGGGAAAAGTAACAGAAGGAAAATTGTGCAAACAAGTAGAAGGTGCAGGATTTTACATAATTTGTCAACTTTTTTCTTCCGAATACTTTAATATTACTTCAAAATGAAAGGAAACTATTTCTATAAAATATATCAGTTTTTTTTTTTTAAATCATGTACCTTCATCAACAGTTCAAAGATGGAATAACACAAGATATGATGAAATACATCCATTTATTTTACATGATTTGCAGGTCTTTGAAATTTGGGAATAATTTTTGTTCCATGTTTCATACATGGTCTGTTTAAAACGTATGTAACTTTAGAACCAAAAATGGTACAGAAAAAAGGTCAACAGTTTCATAAACTAGAGCACATATGTATCTGTTGAATACATTTTTATATCAGATGCATTAACTTGAATTTTTGGCCTTGCTGTTTACTTCTGCTTGACCGAGCCCCATTATTAGTGTGTGTTTATGTAGTATTAGGGTTCTTACCGAGCTGTTCTGGCACTGCACACTGGACGAGTTGAACCTCAGAGCCGTGACCCTGTGGCTGACCCCCTGTATGTTGAGCACACACTCGTAGCCCCTCTGTCCAGACTGGGGCTGGGGCAGGTTCTTGGCCTTCAGGGTGATGGGCTTCACTTCTCCAGCTGGGATCAGGATCTCCTCTGAGCGCACCAGCTGAGGACAGTCCTGCACACACACAACAACAAACATCTTTACCTTACCTGTGTCGAGCTTTACTTTTTTGTGCGGCTAAAATTTCTAATACTAAGGTGCACTTTATTGTCCCCATGGGGAAATTTTTCTAAAGCATTTATCCTTCAGTACCACTGGGGCAGATATTAAGCTAGGCTTGATCAGGACTATCGGGACTGGCTAGAGGATTTTGCCTGTTTCCAGGATGATGGGAAAAATCCACCCAGACCTATGGAGAAACATACAGTAAGGAGTCACACCAGAACCTTCTTGCTATGAGGTAAGAGCCAATGTGGAGAAAGCTGTTTTTAAATGAAAGGATAGGAGAGTGCATGGCTCGACTGTAAATGGATGGACACTTGGATGTATTTTAATAATTTGTAACCCAAGGGACTGCTGATGGAAACTAGCTTTAACTAAGCCTGGTGTAAAGCATCTCTTCTTTTATGAGATTTTATGAGACATGAGCAGTCTGCACATGATCCCGATTAAAATAGACCAGTAAACTAAACTAAACTAAACTCAGCCTCTGTACACTGAAATATGGTACTAATCTGGAGTCTAATCCTCCAGACCAAGACTCTGGCTCTGCAGTGTGGGTTGTGATTGCTCCAGTTACATCATAGACAGAAATTTCCCAGTTTGGATCATTAAATCATTTGGAGACACTCTTAAAGGTACATTCTGTAACTTTTCTGGTGGAAGGACTTCGCCTGATTCTTCAGCCGGTTTCACTTCCTAGAAACATCTGACCTCACAGCATTAGGATTCATTCGCTCGACGATAGGCGGGTACTTTTTTATTTAACCAATCGCTGCTATTTGGTCATGACGTATGTAATGCTCCACTAACGGGACTAACTGGTATATTAAGTTTTTCCCAAATCCTGTAGGAAGAAGGGCAATAACATCTTTCCCCTTGACAAAATTCACCAAACATTCTCTTTATTCCAGCTTCAAATCCTCCATCTTGGGAATTGTTGCCTCACACTTCCAGGGTTTTCATGAACTGTCTAGTGTATTCCAATTCCTGATCTAGTCGCTGGAGAGAAATGAAATTAACCGGAGGCACTAGGTGGCGCCAGCTTGTCAACCAGTGACCACAATTTGCTTTTGTTTTTCTAGGTATTTTTAAGCTATAAAACCACCTGTAATTGAATAAATGTAATGTAGATCTACTAGTACTTAATGTCATAGTGCGGAACATTCGAAGCAGAGCAATGACATATCCATACGAATAAGATGGTGACAGATTCCCAACCAAAAAGTTACACAGTGCACCTTTAAACATCAAAATGTGTTTATCCTTATACCTCCTTATGTTAAAATAATTCCTTATATTAATCTTAGTGTATGTGGCCTCTTAACAGTCATAATGATTTTCTTGCTCTGTAGCACTTTTAAAATCAATTTCTTTACTGTATAATCCAAAGTTATTCTAAAATACACCAAAACGTGGGGTTCCGTGAGGATAAAAAGTACGTTAGCATAAAAGCACCACTCGCACGACCTTGGACGGCAGACAGTAGCTATACCACCTTGACCAAATTGTAAGTGACATTTTGTGAAGAGTTTTAAAAGCAGCCATTGAAATCAGCACGTTTGAGAATGACATTGTGTTAAGACTCTTTAAAGTTGCCAGATAATAGACTGCTAATTGCTGCAGAGAAGAACAAAAGCTGTGAATGAGGAGCAGTATTTGGGCATTATAGAGTGGGTTTGAAAGGGCTGTGTGTATGTGTGTGTGTATGTGTGTGTGTGTGTGTGTGTGTGTGTGTGTGTGTGTGTGGACATGCCCTGAGGAAGGCCTGGAGAAAGCACAAACAAGAGCAAAGTACAACAGCTACAGCTAATATTTTATGTATTTCATCCTTTTATTATTCATCATCTTTAGATTCATTTATAATAGTAGTAGGGGAGTGGACAGGGAGGTTGTCCAGGGTCTTAGGGACTTAGAACTGGATCTACTAAAAACTCACCTGTTCAATCTGACATCCCCCCGTGATTCCCCCTGTTTTATAGACTGTTGCAACTAGGGGTGTAACGATATCCAAGTCTCACGATACGATATCGTCACGGTATGAACCTCACAGTACGATGTTTACTGTGATATCGTGGGAAAGCTCATGATATGGTGAGGAGGCTCATGATATTATGATATTATACATAATAACAAGAGTGACATTATAAACTGCTTTGAGCAGTCACTTGGTACAACAGTTATTATCATATTCATATCAATGACATTTTGAACAGCTTGAAAAGCCTTTGAAGTTGAAGTGCAAAACTGAAGTAACAACTAAACAATTGTAATAAAACTCTGGGTCACTCTTGAAGTCCACCCATCAGTGGTATGTGAGATACACTCCGACTGCTTAAGGCTCTGTAGGACCTCAGTCTTTGACTGTCACTGTTTGACCACCATGTGTGAATTAACCATGTGGCTTTAAGTTTTGTTTCTATAAAACGTAAACAAAAGCTGCATTAAACATATTATTACTCAATGTATATTTGAGTCCTCAATGTATATTTGAGTGAGGAAATAAAAAAAAAACAAACTTAAATGCGATGGAATTTTATATTTCGGCTCAAATTTAGCCACTAACCTTTTAAACCAAACACCGTCCACCATGGAAAATGGAGGCAAATCACTCACTGTACATGCTGCAATGTATTTTGTTATTTCTTGAGCGCTGTTGTAAATGATTCACGGTTTTTCTCCAGACTTGATTTTCTGAACATATTCTTGAAAATTTTCGGCGTGTCGGCAAACCCAAAACACTGAAGAGCTCAGACTTAAAAGCCTCTGGTGCGTCCACAACGGGCGCACTGACTGATGACGTTATGGTCTATGTAGTTTACTGGTCTATGCAACGTGGACTGAAAATTCTTATTTTTGCCTAAACACACAGTTTAATGCCACGACGAGACCACAACGATATTGTGACAATTTTGCCACAACGATAATATGTTATCACCAATACTGTTACACCTCTATTTGCTTCCTATTTGTTTGTAAAGCATCTTTGAATGTCCAGAAAAGAGCTGTATAAGTGTGATGTCTAAAGTTCGATGGTCAATATTAAAATATACTCATCTTTGCATATACCCATAAACTAGAAGTACCTAAACTAAATCTGGGTGTGTCCAGTCTTTGTTTATTTATTCTTGATTATTGCGTCTCTTGATAATGAAAACTTATCCTGACAATGCGTGTACCTTATATCCCACAATTCTCCATCTCAGTCATACATATTAATGCATTCTAACATCAGAACATGAAAACAATGCCGGATTCTTGATGACAGAGTTATAATCAAGTCTACTTTTATTATTCATGTAAGCAATCAGGTCTGGATGCAAATGTAGATGCGACTTTCACCTTTTCCACACTTTCTAACAGTTTTCTTTGTACTTTTTTATGAAAGAAAGGGTCACTGTCATCTTGTTGTCACTGGTCAGTTTGGTCAGTGTTAGTGAAACTTAATAGAAGAAGAATCATTGCTGTGGATTAGTAGAAAACTTGCAGACCCTATTCCTTTTTTTTAGGGATGTAACAGTAACAATATATCGAATGACAAGTTCCTTTGCTTAAATACATGGTTTTATAGTGGCAACAGCTTATGAACATCATGAACTACACATCCCATGATTCATTTCAGTGCAGACAACATGAAGAAATATGTTTTTTACTTGAATTCTTAGGATTATGATGGAAATAATTCACATCAAAATCTTGTCAAGGTATTTTAAAAGCAAAGAAGTGTCCTATGGACAATTATATTAGGCTCTTCAAAATATCACAATAAATATTCTTACATTACTATAGATTTTATTTTATTTTATTTTAATTTCATTGTTATAAGTTATTTATTTATTGCCACTATATTGCCACTTTGTTTTTCTTATGTTCTGTTCTTTTTGTTTTGAAATTTCCCTATATGTGAGACAAGAAAATGCAATCAAATCTGTATTTTTACACATGTACATAACATCAATGGTACTTTCTCTTAAAAAGCAACATTACAAAGTTGAATTACTTTAACGTAAGTAGCTGCTGTAAATTCAAGAAGGTAAACTTTGTACTGACTTTATAACAGTAAAAATACTTGCATAGTTGCATTTTTGTATTGAAATCCAAACCTTCATATATAGCTTATTCTATTCAAGGTGCACTATGTAACTTTTTGATTGGCGGTCTTTCACCTCCTTGTTTCTATGGATATACCATTGCTCTGCCTAGAATGGTCCACAGTATGACATTCATTCAATTACAGGTGATTTTACAGCTCAAAAGCATCTAGCAAAACAGGCATTCTGACTATGAGCAGGGCTGCCAAAGAAAGGTTTAATACTTTACTGTGAAACCAGACCAAGCAATAACATCTTCCATGGAGAAAAGCCCTCCACTAGAAAAGTTACACAAAGCACCTTTAAAAAAGAATAACTAAAAGATGCAGTTACTGACCTCTGAGGCATTGACCCTCCCCTCCTGGAACGAGCAGCTGGACGGGTCATGGGTGCACAAGTTTCTGTATTTGCACCAGTGGCACCGGAAAGCGCTGTTCACACATGAGAGACACCTGCAAAACACAAAACACAAACACAATACATTATGAGCCTTTATGTGGACCAGAGGGGTACAGAAACACTGCCAAACGTGAAGAGGGCGGGCGCAGAGGAAATGAGTTCAGGTCCCGAGTGGTAGCGGCTGCTGTTGTGCTGTGCCCCTGCAGGAGGTTGGCACAGGACCCAAAAGCTGCCAAAAGCTGCCAGGCCCATTTTAACGGATGCATAAATTTATAGTGTGGCCGTATATTTTAATGCGGCGTGTCAGTTGTGTGTGTGTGAGAGACTGGAATCAGATGGTCAAGGAAGGACAAAGAGGAGAAATGGAGAGGTGGTTAAAAATGAAAATATAACTTGATTTAGTATTGGCGTTTTCTTGTGTAGTTGTTTTAGATCGGGTCATAATTCATGTCTGGTTTCTGTCAAAGATAAGAGATGAGTTGGACTTGTGTTTCAGTGTGTGGACTTGCAATCACACAGGACTAAACCAGGATTTGATCAGGATTAAATCAAGACTTGAACAGGACAAAACTAAGACTTTATCAAAACTAAACAAGCCTCAAACCAGGACCAAACCAGGATAAATGTGAATACACTTTTGTGGTTTAAATTGGTAGTTCCGGTTATGAATATCGAGTTCAGATTACATGCATTCTTTTAGTGAGTGCGCGCGCCTCTCCACAGATCAGATCTGTAACTCTGTAGGCGAGTCATGGGTATAGTTCTAGGTTTAGTTCAGTTTAAATCCAGGTTAAATGTTTCTAATTGGTTTACATGTGTCTTAGACCTGGTTTAGGCTTTGGTGAGGACCAACTTAAATCCCGATTTAGACCACCTTGAGTCCTGTATAGGATTAGGGTTACCCTTATTTAACTCCAGGAAGAACATTCAAAATTGCCCTGGATTATAACTGGTTTAGTCCTGGTTTAGTTCTTACTGTAGACCTAATTTAGACCTGCTTTAGTCCTGCTTTAGTCATGGTTTCGTTGTTACTGTAGACCTGGTTTAGTTCTGGTTTAGTCCTGGTTTAGTTCTTACTGTAGACCTGGTTTAGTCCTGGTTTAGTTCTTACTGTAGACCTGGTTTAGTCCTGGTTTAGTTCTTACTGTAGACTTTATTTAGTCCTGGTTGAATCCTGGTTTTGTTCTTACTGTAGACCTGATTCAGACCTGGTTTAATCCTGGTTTAGTCCTGGTTTAATTCTTATTGTAGACCTGATTTAGACCTGGTTTAGTTCTGGTTTAGTCCTGGTTTAGTTCTTACTGTAGACCTGGTTTAGTTCTTACTGTAGACCTGGTTTAGGTCTGGTTTTGTTCTTACTGTAGACCTAATTTAGACCTGCTTTAGTCCTGCTTTAGTCATGGTTTCGTTGTTACTGTAGACCTGGTTTAGTTCTGGTTTAGTCCGGGTTTAGTTCTTACTGTAGACCTGGTTTAGTGCTGGTTTAGTTCTTACTGTAGACCTGGTTTAGTCCTGGTTTAGTCCTGGTTTAGTTCTTACTGTAGACCTGGTTTAGTCCTGGTTTAGTTCTTACTGTAGACCTGATTTAGACCTGGTATAGTCCTGGTTGAATCCTGGTTTTGTTGTTACTGTAGACCTGATTCAGACCTGGTTTAATCCTGGTTTAGTCCTGGTTTAATTCTTATTGTAGACCTGATTTAGACCTGGTTTAGTTCTGGTTTAGTTCTTACTATAGATGGGGTTTAGTCCTGGTTAAGTTCTCACTTTTACTCCTAGTTTAGTACTGGTTTAGTCTTGGTTTAGTCTTGGTTTAACCCTGGTTTAATCCTGGCTTCACCCTGATTTAGTCCTGGCTTTGTTCTGGTTTAGTCCTGGTTCAGCCCTGCTTTAGCCCTTGTTTAGCCCTGGTTTAGTCCTGGTTTAGTTCTGGTTTAGTCCTGGTTTAGTCCAGGTTTAGACTAGCAGCTGCTAAACCCACTCTTTCACAATAACATTACAGCTGTCATACATAAAGCGCTGTGTGTCATATACGCACATATAGAGTGTGACATTGGGATCCACCGGCTTTAAGGAAACAAGGGCAGAGGCAGGAGAGCACAAATGTGAAGTGATGAGGACAAACAGTTGTGTAATTAGCATTAGCCCGGTATTGTTCAAGAGTGGAGTAATTACATCCAGGAGCTGTTTGTGCGAGGTCTGTGTTCTATGTTAATGCACGGTTCTACATATAGACCCTATGGATGCACTTACCAGCACATTTAAATAAGATAACACATTTTCTTGGAAAGCACTGATTGCAGAAAAAAGCTCTACTGTGAAGAAATCCAAGCCATTAAAGGTGTAATATGTAACTTTGCTGGTGGGGGGTCTGCCAATAGCTTGTCTCCGTGGAAATGTTATTGCTTTACCTAGAATGTTTCACGGTATGGTATTCAAACTGCATTTACTTAGCCTTTATAGAGCTCATATAACTCAAATAACTTGAAAAACGTTAATTCAAACTGGATAGTGGGTTCATCTTTCCACAGCTCTGACCTGTAACCATCTGTTTGACATAGACTTTTAATGTTTAATGCAATAAAATCTCCATGGAGACAAGCAGGTGCATTTCGCAGTGCATTTTTAAGTGACCCATTTTCTATTTATTTATAACTTATCATGTTAAAATCACATACATATATCAGGAAAAAATTGTCCAAATGCATAAAGTTAAAGGGCATATATTGCAATATTTTTTGATTTATGTTAAAATGTTGTTTCCTCATGTACACATACCTGGAATTTGATTTTGTTGCACTCACACTAACACAAAAATCATTAATTTTCAGACAACACTCTGGCTATGTTCAGACTGTAGAGCTTAATGCTCAATGCGCAGATTTTTTTGTGAAATCCAATTTTTTTGCGAGGTCGTTCACATTTCCAATTAAATGTGACTTGTATGTGATCTCCAGTGTGAACTTTAAACACCCCAAAAGTTTTCTGCGTGCGCATTGGAGGACACAACGACGTCATGCGCAGCGAGCGTGCTCAGTGTTTATGGAAGTTGAAAAACGCCGAGCTTGTCTGTCAAAATACGGTCCAGTTCTTTGTAAAACATGGACAGGTTACACGTCCACGGCCGCTTCGTATTTGGCTCACAGGTTCTTTATTTTTTGTTGACATTGGAGCCAGGACTGTCTGTAGTTCTAATAAGACCCTTCCAATTTGGCCTGAATACACCGATCCCCTCAAATATTAATGAACTCACTAACCTCGCTTTTCTTCCATTGACTAGACTCTGAGCCTGACGTGTAGGTGGGATGAAGGCAACCTGGCCGTTCAGACTCAAGTCGCATGTCAAAAGATCGGATATGTATCTGTTTTAGGAGCACATATCCAAGTGGCCTGGGTCGCATTTGAAAAAATCTGATCTGTGTCGTTCAGACTGTCATTAAAAGATCGGATGTACGTCGCATCGGGGCGAAAAAATCTGATTTGGGTCCCTTTGGGCTGCAGCTTGAACCTAACCTCTGATGCTTCACTAGAATCATTTGGATAATTTAAGCCCGAGAATTGCCAATCTCTCCTGAACTAAAACAAAAATGTAGCTATTGACTTGAAAACTACCACTTCATGTCATCACAAGGTGGACCAGAGTAATAAAAAGTTACTCAAACACGTGTGAATGAAACAAAACACAACTCCGAATATGTTTTTGATGAGGTAACAACATTCTACCACGACTTAACGCTCGCAAACATTCATTTTGTGTATTTACAGGACCTTTAAATGCCTTGTTCATGAATAAAATGTGAACAGCACAGGCTCTAAATCATATGCACAAGCAGAATTTGAATAGCTGAAAACCATTCATCATACAGTGCTGTCAGTTGTAAGCATTTGAGTCACTACTTTGGGCTCACTCTCACAGTATCTGGCAACGTACAGCTGGCTCATGTCTAATTGATCACGCCATGTATATTTATGTACTCATTTTGCATGTTATGTCATCTTCGAGCTTGCTTTCCATTTCTATTTTAAGGCCTCCCTGCTTATATTACCTATTGACACTTACAACTGTGCTTATTGAAAAAACACTTGTAAGAGACACCGTTTGGCCTTGTTCATTCTTTTATGTTATGCAGTTATGTTCTGTCATTGTGAAATATTCATTGGTGCAAAAGCGAAGAACTAACTCCGCAGAGAGTCGCTTCCCCTTCAGGCTGGTGTGGGGAGTACAGTGGGTTTGTGTGGCTGCAGTGGAGCGATGTGGAAGATGGAGACGATGCCCTTTTCAAGCTAATGTGCACATGCATGCCTATTACGTAAGCTGATCACTGAGATGCTAATTGGCTTTTGTGTTGCTCGGAAAGGCTTCAACAGTCATTGTTAGACAGATATAGCAAGTGGTTCACAAACTGGGGTACAGGTACTGGTTCTAGTCCTACTCTGAAATATTTTACACCCCAAATGTGTTATTACCTCCGCCAAGGAGGTTATGTTTTTGCCGGCGTTTGTCTGTTTGTTTGTGTGTTTGTTTGTTTGTCTGTTAGCAACATAACTCAAAAAGTTATGGACCGATTTTGATGAAATTTTCAGAATTTGTTGGAAATGTGAAAAGGAAGAACTGATTTCATTTTGGGGGTGATCCAGAAGAAATCCTGGATTCTGGATCACTTTGAAATTTTAGTTAACATTGTGGTAAATGGGGCCAAAAATGTTGTTTCTCAATATCTCGGTTAATTATTGACCAAACCCCATGAAATTTGACTCAGGGATGGACAATGGGATCCTCTTTCATATTCCAAATTGAAAGATACGAGACAAATATTTATGGAAAACACAATTAATATGAGGGGGACTGTAGTCCTCGGCGGAGGTCTGCGCTCTCTGACTGCTTTTCTAGTACTAGATTTGATTTTTGTTTAGTACATATTTATATGCCGTATTTTTCAGACTATATGTCGCACTTTTTTCATGGTTTGGGTACTCTGGTGCAACTTATATATTAAAATGTACACACTGACAGCCACGAGAGGGCGCTCTAGGCTTGTGTGTCAGTATGTGCTACTCCTATTACTCCTGTTACTGTATCACTGTCACTTCGCTCTACTGTGCATGTCTCCTGCAGAAAGAGCCACATCAATCGCACCATTACTTCTGCACCACTGAAAATTTAAACTTAACAAGACAAATGAGAAGATTGAACACAAATGTCCCCCCAAAAATCATATTTTATAGCTTACAAACTGCAAGTAGTGAAATCTGCA